TTTTCCCGGCAGCACACTAGGCAGGGGCCCTGGCTCAACAGAACCAGCAGGCCCAGGAGGAGATCCCAGCTCTATCATTTTGGAGACCATTCCTGAATCCTCAGGCCTGGACTCCTCGGAGTCACAGGGGCTCTGAAATCCCACCGCAGTGTGCACTGCGTCTCCCTGCAATCTTTACAGGCAGACTTCCCTTCCTCAAGACTCACAGTACACCCCAGGCTAACGACATGCTGGGCCTCCCATTGTCAGTATCTATGCCTTCCTCAGGAGAGAGGAATTTCCCTTTCTGCTTTCAATATAAAAATGAAAACGTCTTCATCCAGATCTGGTGGCTGAGTGGTATCTACTTGGGAACTTTAGAGCTGCCACAATCTTCTTCATAATTTAAATGAGTTCCAATACCTTACCAAGATAGCAGTGAACTCATGCCTTTATGCACCAGTTTCTTAGCATAGGGATGTGGCTCTGTGATGTTGATACACTGTGTCAACCTGAGAAGTTTAGAGGCTTACCTAAGTGACTTACACTCTAGGATGTAGAGGATCCACCCTAGGGCAGGTAGTCTGCACATGGTATAAGGGAGGAAAAGAGGCCTCCTCCCCACCTTTGTTCTTGTTGATTTTGCTGCCTTCTGCCACCATGAATGGTTGCCCCTCTGCCACACCATCTGCCTTGGAGCTAGCTGATTATAGATTGAAACCTCCACAAACTGTGAGCTAAATAAATCTTTCTCTCTTTAACTTTGGGTGTCAGGTGTTTTGTATCAGCAACAAAAGAAAAGTAACTAACACAAGGTCTGTAAGGAAATACTCATGGGTAGAATTGGTGGGCCAAAGGGCATATGAGATTATAAATTTTAGAATAAATCAATCTGGGATTACAGCTGGCACATACTTGTAATCCCAGACGCTCAGAAGGCTGAGGCAGGAGGCTCACTTGAGCCCAAGAGCTGAAGGCCAGCCTGGGCAACAGATTGAAACCTTGCTTAGACAGCCACAACCCTTGACTGTCTAAGAATCCTTCTTCCTCCTTACACCCTTGCCAAAGTAGCCTGATGGTTGAAAAAAAGTGCTTCCCAGAGTGTATTTAACATGCGTTTCTCTTGCTGTGCCTGCTGTGATCAGCTCTAGGAGTGCCAAGCACTTGAACCATTTGCCTTTCCTGGAGACTGTCCCTGACCAAGTTCATCGTGCCTTCTCACTGATGCACAGGAGTTCCATGGGAAATGAGTCTTTCGTGACATAGGCTGCAAATTTTTGGCTGCTGGTTCACCCTTGTCTTTTTCTTATTTTGCTAAGAGGAAGTGGTATCTGATTATGTAACTGCCTCTACTCCTCTCCTAAAAGAAGACAGGGACTATGGGGACCGTGAGCTGTCAGGTAGGCCTGCTCCGTTCCAAGATTATAAGTTGAGTATTTTTTCTCCATGTTTGTGGTTTTGTTTTTGACATTTAAATCTTTGAATCATCTGGAATTTGTCTCCACACAGAACTGAGATCCTCTCGTGTTTCTTCCAGCTGGCGACCCATCTGTCCCAACATGTGCACCTCTTCTGCAAAGACAAGGATAGCCTCTTGATATTTCAGTGTCTGTTTTAACACCCATCTTCTCCACCTGAAACAACCTTTCCATGGCTGCTGGTAGTTCTTACTTGTAGTTGGCTTCTCTAGCCATCTTTCTTCAAGACCTCTTTCATTATTTTGCTTGTAGAAGTACAGTTATCTTGTTCTTCATTTTCCATGGGGAATCCTCAAGGCTATCAAATTCTCCAGAGGCTCAAAATCCTTCTATAAAATGATGCAGTGTTTGCACAGAACTTGCACATACCTTTCTGTGTATTTAAATCACATGTATACTCAAATCAGATTATCATACCTCGTGCAGTGTAAGTGCCACATAAGCAGTGCTATGTTGTAAAGACAGAAATGACAAGAAAAAGGTCTGTATATGTTCAGTACAGATGGAATTTCTTTCAAATATTTTCAATCTGCAGTTGGTTGGATGCAAAACCTGTAGACAGGTGGAGAGTGCATGACCTCTAGACCTAGGTGATGGGCCTGAAGGGGAGCCTTAGACACTACACTAGGAAGCTAGCCTGTAACCTTCAACCCCTCATGCACAAGGGGTTGTGCTTATCATGACCCCGGGAGGTGAGAGGAAGAAAGGTAACAGGGCAGGGCACAGAGAGAGGAACTGCTGGCAGGAAAGCAGGGCCAGCAGCCAGCAGCCCTGGCCAGCACCACCCCCTGAAGTCAGTCTTTCCTCCTGAGATGGGAGCCACTGGCCCCTTTTGTTGCAGGGAATTTCTAAATAATGTTTCTAAATAATATGACAAATGCAAGTGAGGCCACCCGATGTGACTGTCACTCCTGTTCCCAGGGCCACAGGTAGCCCTGAGGTTCCACACAGGACAGATCAGAGCAGCCTCAGCAGGGGTCCTCGAGCCCACAGCATAAGGCCTGGTTTGTCCTCCAGCCCTGCTCTCACCTAAGCTTCTGAACTCCACTGCCCCCACATCTGTGCCCACTGTCACCTGCACACTCTTTGAGCATGTGAAACTTAACAGGCCCAAACCTTGCTTTCTCCTAAAATACTCACTCCACATACGACTAGTGATAAACATGGGAGAGGGGTACACAGGACCCCGAGACTCACTGCAGCCACTGAGGCTCGGAGCCCAACCAGTACCTCCCAGGACAGGGCCGCAGGACACAGAGGCAGCAGCTTCCGCACAGAAAAAGAAGCCACACTGTCACCATTAAACACGTTTACAGACAAAGCCATAACCGTGACCGCAAGGTGGAGAGAGGAGGACAATTTGCTAGCCCAGTCTGCTGGGTGTTGGGAATGCTGGGAAGAGACAGGAAAAGCAAGGTGATGAAGCCTCAAGAACAAGTGGTCCAAGACGGTGACCTGGAAGCATCAGGGGAAGGACAGAGGCTGAGGCAGAAGGGATGGGGCCCTGAGAACTTGGTCTTCTTTCTGCATGGCAGCCAGGTGGAGGGGTGGAGGGACTCGGGAGTGTTGGCTTCTCAGGACAGAAGTAAACCTTCTACCAAGCAGCTACGGGAGGTGCAGGGAAAGCCTCCTTGTGTTTTAGGTAAATGACATTTTCTGTGGATGGAGGTTTTGACCTCGGACACATTTTAGAGCCCTCCTTTGCCCTCGCTCCTGCCCTGAATCAATCACCTCTGACACCTGACAGGTTTTTCCAGAAAGCACCTCCCGGAATTCTTAAGAACCTACCACTTTTCAAGCGTGGGCAAATGCTCCTTCAAGCAGCTGTCAAAACATCCTTCCACCCGCCCCTTTAACTCTGCCCCCTGTCAAATTCCCAATGGAGCTCAAGGTTTTTTCCTAAACCCTGGAGAGGGGGCCTGCCTCTCTTCCATGGCCCTCCCATCCCCTCAATAGAGGCCTTTTCTCTTCTGCTGGCTCTCTTTTCTCTCTTGCACCACAGTAGACCAAACAAAACCCAGAGGTTTTTCTAATTTAATTAGTCTCTCTGTGGGAACCCTGGCCTCTCCTCCCAGTGGCTGCCCAAGGGAGGACTCTCATGCCTCTGATGGGAGCACGGCAGTGAGGCTGTCCCATGGCCCTTCATCAGCCCTTCGGTTTGGCTGAGGCGTCCCTGTACAGTCTCCGAGGTAAAGGCTTAGTGGGGCCTCCTGGGAGCCCTAGAGGTCACTAAGAGGTGAGGAGCGGTCCCTTCTTTTTCTATTTTGCTTACCAGTCTTAAAGTGAGTGGTTTTGCTCTGCCACCCAGCAGCCCCACAAGTGGCCTAAAAGCAGTAAGTCTGTGCGACCATGCCTGGAACCTCCAAGACTGAGTCAAATGAATCTTTCCTCTGTACACACGGATCTCCTCAGGTGCCTGTCACAGTGATGAGACTGACAAAGCTTCCTTCCTAAAACATGAAGCAGCTACATGGCTTGATGAAAAAGCATTTAGCTGCTGCTCAGTGGCCAGCACGGGAGGCCTGTATCTGCTCCCCGGCTGGGGCAGGGGCGCCTCCTGGGTGAGTCCACGTGCTGCGTGCTACGGCGTTCATAGGGGCACATCAAGCGGCCATTCCCACTCCAGGGCCGCTCTCAGGATGGTGGCTCACTGAGGGTGCTCCAAGCTGGCTGCCTTCCCTCTGGGGCTCTTCCACTGCCACCACATTCTCCTCCTCCACAGGCCGCCCTCACCCTGGGGCTGCTGTTGCCCTGTGCCAGACTGGAGGGCAGAGGACAGCCACACGGCTGCACGCTCCCCTTTTCCAGCTCTTCCTTTGGGTGCTCCCTTTTTCTGAAACCACCTCCTGACGAGGATGATCTTAGAATTCTACCTATTCTCCATCCTTTTCTGATATCCAGTACCATGTGCATCCTCCAAAGTTCATCCCACACCAGCTTTTCCCACTTTTTATTTTGTTTTTGCTTGCTTTTTGAGACAGGGTCTCCCTAGCATAGTGCGGGGTGGCCTTGAACTCCAGATCCTCCTCCCTTGGTCTCCAGAGTGCTGAGATTACAGATCTGCACTGCCAACCCCCAGGTTCCTTAAACTGTTATGCTGCTCTGTAAGGCTTTCTTTCCCGTCAGCCCCACTGCGCCCTGTGACTAAGCCCAGCAGCCTCCAGCCAGCAGGGCTCTCAAAACAGGTCTGCGCACTTTGTGCACAACTCCGCGGCAATCAATGAAGGGTCGTGAGGCCTCGGGGCCATGTACCACGTACTTGGCAAAAATACCTCGGCGCAGGGACTATGGGAGGGCAAACAAAGGGCAAGCAGGATTCCTTCAAGGGAAGTGAAGGCCTTTGCGGAGACCAACACCTCCCGGCGCATCTGTGCCACCTGCCCTGCATCCTCCCGCCCGTCTACCCCGCAGGCCCCGCCCCGCCCCGCCCCACGCGACCCAGGTCTCGCCCAGCTCTGCCAGGCGTCACCCTGCCCCGCCCCGCCTCGCCCCGCCTCGCCCACCGGGCCCACACCCGCGCGCTCTCCGGCCCGCCCCGCTCACCTGTACGCCCAGGGCGAGACGCTGCGCAAGTTGGCGGGCGGCCGGAAGCGGCGCTCGGCGGGCCTGCCCCCTGCCGGGCAGCTCGCGTTGCGCGCCTGCTCGCGCGGGCCCAGCTGCAGCGTGTGGTGGAAGGCGCTGAGCACGCCGGCCGCCAGCCGCCCGTACAGCTGCTCCAGGAGCTCCTCGGGCCGGTCCGCGCAGCCCCGCGGCCTCGCCGGGCGCCGGCCCGCCCTCACCGCCGCGCGGCCGGGCGGCAGCGCCAGCAGGAGCCCCGCCACGAGCGTCCAGACCTGCGGGACAGGCCCCGCCGCAGACCGTGAGCGCGAGCATGGGCGCCGCGCGCGCCGGCCCCCGCGCGCCCTCGCCGCCCGCCCGCCGCCCGCGGGGGCCCCGGGGTCCCGCCCCCCGCCGGCCCGCGCGCCCCCGGCCCCCGCCGCCGCCGCCTCCCCGAGCCCGGGGCCGCGCGGGGGGCGGCTGCGGGGCGCGCGTGCACGTGTGCGTGTGCCTGCCGGGCTGCTGCGCGGCGGGCTGCGAGTGCCCGTGAGGCCGCGGACCCGGCGCCGCCGGCCGCTGCGCTCCGACCCGGACCGCACCCGGACCCCGCCCTGCCCCGCCTCGCCGCGCCGCCCGCCGTTCCCTTGCGGCTTCTCCGGGCGCACGGACGCCGAGGGCTCCGCGCCCTCTCCTTCAGGAGCGCCCCGTGGACCGCACTCACCAGTGTGCCCAGCATCTTCCGACAGCGCGCGCAGGTTCGGCGCGGAGGCGTGAGCCGCGGCGCTGCAGCTGAACACACCCGGGGCCGCCCCGAGGGCGCGCGTCGCCGGCTCGGACTGCTGGGCGCGCGGCGCGGCCGCAGCTGGGCGTCCCGGCTGGCGGGAGGAGGAGGAGCAGACTGGCCGGGAGGGCCCCGCCGCCGCGAGTGGGCCCGCCAGGACCAAGTTAGAGGAGGCAGAGTTTGGCTCAGGAAGAGGATTTCTCGAGGAACGAAAGCGGGCCAAGAATAGAATAGACCAGCTGGAGAAAGATTAAACCCAAAACCTAGAAGGATTCGCCTTGGAGTTACTTCCTGAGTTCTCATGTTTTGAAGACGTATATTAGAGATTTTCAAGTCTCATTTTTTAATAAGGCGAGGGGAGGTTTTTTTCTCCTTTCTCCTAAACCTGTAAAATGACCCTGTGCCTATCAAACCCTAAACTCAAAGCGCTGAATACCCCCCGCGCCCCACTTGTGGCTGTCAGTGGGCCTCACTTGGTCTGTTGTGGCGATGTTGGAACAGTCTTACCCCATGATTACTGAATTGTAAGTGCACTGGTCGTGTAATGCGAGCCTAATATTCTGTGAATAAAGAAAATATACTGAAATAAAGGACCATATACTTCCAGAACAAAAGAAAACCTCATGTGTTTATTCTGCAATAAATGCTTAATGCGTTTTAGGTGGCAGCTAATGAACATGATTATGTTAAAGCAGCCGTGCTTTAAAAATGAAAACATGATCAATACCAGCTGAAAGCTTTTTGAAAGTGTAAAACATGTAATTTATGGTTCCCTAAATGGTTTTCAGCTTTGGCATTTGACTAAATTGTAAACCATTAGTTAAACTACGTTTCATTTGTGCTATATAGAAAAATACTTTTATATGCCTTGAGTAATCTGTGACTGAAGTTTAGTAATTGCTTCATTTACTGCTAAAACTCCCTCTAAAATCCGGCTTTAAGCAACTGATAGCTCTTGGTGAGTAAACATTTGGGTTGTAAAACACTTTGACTAGCAGATAAATGTTCTTTGTTTCCAGTAAAATGGGAATAAAGGCGTCAACACTCATGTACCGCTGGTTCTATTTAGAAAATAAAAGCTGTAGGAGTCTAGGAGTGTCTCTCAGGAGTGTTGCTTGGAAGTATTCTGCCTGTCTCATCTTTTTGTATGTATGGTCGTGGTGCCAGTCTGCTTTATTATCTGTTTTCTGCGGGCTGATAAAATGACAGCTCATTTCTCTCTGATTACCTTGGAGGTGGAAAACATTTGCTTTTTACAATAGTTTCTATCTTGTGAAAGGCCACAAGTGTGAAAGTGCTCATCAAGTTGGTAGAAAATAAAACTCACCTGTGAGACTAAACAGTTTTACAAACAAGGGCAAATAGGTGTTTATTGAATAATGAATTCTACAAATGTCAACATATTTATGAAGTTATAAAATGCACTTGTTAATGAGACCAAATTGAATACACTCAAATGGAAAAAAGGCTACGAAATACTCAAACCAAACTCACCATATTTCTTTAGAAATTCAGTGCCTACAGTGTTCTTTACTGAATGTATTTTCATCAGTGTAATCACATCCTCTCCCCGGTTCTTCTCCTTCATCCTCTGGTTTACTCAGCTAAAGACCAGCACAGCTGCAAGATTCAGCATTAACCAAGCTGTCAGGAAGTCTTTTAAGCTATTCCTTGGCACCAGGACCCCAAAAGCTAAAGTACGGTTGGTTACTCCCATGCTTACCTGTTGGGAGCCTTTGAAGCTGGAAATTCACCACACTACAAGGCTGGAGCATGGCCATCCCAAGAACAAAGAGCACCTGGGGCAAGCCACTGGAAGAAGCTGCTTCAGCCCAGAGCACGCCTACCCCGAGACAATCTGAACAGTGGGTTCTAGGACGACAAGGGTGTCATGTGACATTAAGTTGCAAAAAGGGGTAAATAAACACCCCTGCAGTGAGGAGCCAATGCCTTTCCTCCCATCAGAAGGATATGGGCTCCACCTGACCGCAGCTTTGTCTTCTTCTTTTCCTTCTCTCACAGTCCTTAACCCCAAGAATCTCAGGAGCTGGCACTTACTTTTCTGGGGTTACTGATGGATCTCCCCAAACCTTGGTGTCTTCTGAGGTCGTCCTCAAATATGCTCCCCTGGGAGCAGTCATTGCTGTCATCTTCCTGTCCACGGCTTTATTCAGAGAGAATTTTAGCCCCTGGATTCACCACTGTTCCTGTTTATCATTCCCAGCACCTTTCAGCTGCACACAGATGATTTCTAAATGACTTTTAGCTTCAACCTTTTTTGTTCTCATACCAAATATCAAACCATATGGCCTTGCCAAGGCATCACCAGCAGTCTCAACTTAGCTAGTAGTCCCAATAGTTAATTTCAGATGTCCTGACACAATCACATTCTTTTCCACTCTCACAATTCTGACATTGTCTAGCCTAATCCTACCATTTTTCATAATTACTGCATTTCCCCAGTGCTAGAGGTGGGACCCAGGGTCTTGTGCATGCCAGATAAGAGTTCTACACCAAGCTGTACTCCTAGCCCCACTGTTTCACGTTTGAGTTGTTTTCTTGTCTAGTTTGGATTTAGGATCTGTATTACCATGGTGTTACTGTACTAAATGCCTTGCTTTTTTCCTCTGCTATACTTTACTGAAATAATTTTTAAAAATTCATAGTTAAGCAGACTAGACTCAATTATAATTTCCAACAAACTTCAGGCTAGCATTTGCTATAGTTTGGATAAATCTCTCTTTAGTGGTCCATGTGTCAAATGCTTGGTCCTTAGTCCACAGCGTTATTGGGAGGCAGCAGAATTCTAGAGGTGGAGCCTAGGGAGAGGAAGTCAGGTTATAGGGTATGTGCTCTTAAAGGGAATTGTGAGGTGCTGGTCTCCTTTTCTCCTTGCTTTCGGGCTGCCACCAGGGAAACAGGCCTCCTGCACCACATGCTCCCACTATAATGTGTTGTGCTGCCACAGTCTCAAAGAAACAAACAAAGCCAAGTAACTGTGGACTCAACCTCTGAAACAGAACCTCACTAAACTTTTTCTCCCTGTGGGTTACCTCAGGTGTTTTGTCACAGTAATAGTAAGCTAACATAACAATCTATACAGGTAATCTATTTGCTTTCCCAGCTCTATTCTTTTTTTTTTATTTTTAAATTTTTTAAAAATTAAACACAACAAAACAAGACATGAGAAAGCAAAGTAAGAGATGTAAATTTCAAAGCTAGACAATCTGAGATCTTCACTATCAATAGTTGTCTATGTCTTCACATACAGAGAATTCATACAAAACAACATAGTATAAAACTGATCAGAGGGGCTAGGGATTTAGCTCAGCGGCATAAGGGCCTGCCTTGCAAGCGGGCAGTCGTGAGTTCGATCCCTGGTACCGATAAAAAGGAAAATGACACACACACACACACACAAAAACAGAATGAGGAAGACGTTTTAGGTCTTCAGAACCAGACAATAGGGAAGTCACTAATGGCTGTTGTAGAGTCTCTCGTTCTCCTCAAAATAGCTGTCCATACTTTCATGTATATTGAAGTTCAACAAAACAAATAGACAAGGTGGGGAGGGGTTTCTTGGTTTCCCGGTGCTCCAGGTCCCGGCATAGCATTTACTACTTACGCAAATACTAATATGATTTTGTTTACTATGTTATTACTGTTATGGTTTAGATATTGTACAAATGAGCTTTCTCATTATTGAAACAATACCTGGCACTCACAACTTGAAGAAGTGTTTAATTTATCTCACAGTTTAAGAAGATTCAGTCCAAAGTCAGTTGGATCCAAGGCAGCAGCATCATGCCACAAGGGCATGGAGGAAAAAAGCTGCTTGGTTCACAGTGGCTGGGGAAGAGGGCAAGGAGTGGCACCAAAGAGGGATGGGTAAAGAACCATCTGCACTCCCCAAACCCATGCCTCCATGACCCATCCAGATACGCTCGGGAGGATACTAATCTTCTAAGTGGTTTTTTGGTTTTTGTTTTTTTGTACCAGGGATTGAACTCATGACCTTGCATTGCCAGGTGGTACTTTTGCCACTGAGCTAAATCACCAGCCCCTTCTAAGTGTTTCTTAATCCCATGAAGTTGACATATCAGGACTAATTTCCACAATTCACCCCTTTCAACCTCATTCCCAAACATCTCAAATCATAATTAATTTGCAAATAAAGACATTAACAAGTTTATTTTTTCACCCAACATAATTGCCTTAGTTAGTTTTCTCACTGCTAAGACAAAATGTCTGACACCTATTAAAGACCCCTGCAGTGGGTTCCAGGCTGCCTGGAATTACAGCATACAGCAGAGAGAGCAAGAGACAAAATAGGGGTGCAGGCAGAGACCTGGGATGAACGGCTCTTCTTGGGGAACGAAAGACCATGAGGCACCCAGACTCTTGGTATTTATTCATTAGATCTGAATGAAAGGCAGTAGGTAAAGGGCACTAAGCGTTTTCAGGAACAGTAACAGCAACTACAGTGCATTAGGAGGATCAAACCATTCCTGCAAGGACAAGGACAAGAATGAGACGGGGCAGGGCCTGTCATCTCCAGCAGGTCTTTTTTGCCCTGTGAGTGCCACAGCATCATCAGCCCTGGCACTTCCAGCTGTGACCAGAAAAGATCAGGGAGTTTCTGTGTTCCAGTTTGGCTCAAGGGCAGGACAAGAACAAGCACAGATATCCCCAGACTCAATATAATTTGTGTCCCCAACAAACACCCAAAGTTAAGGAAGGAAAGATTTATCTGGTTCATAGTCCAGAGAAGTTTCAGTTCACTGCTGGCTGACTCTGAGGCAGGGTGGCATGGCAGGCAGACATCACGGAGGAGAAACTGCTCATGGTGAACAGAAAGTCGTGAAGCAAGCGAGAGACCTTAGCAACTTTTTATCCTCCTTTTCTATTTTATCTGCACTACCAGGATTAGGGTAGTACGAAACCAATCAGTGGACTGATTTAGTAATTCCTCTTAATATGGCAGACTTAATCTTTGCATTGCACTGTGAATCAAGTACACACTTTAGATCCAGCTGCATCTGAAAAAGTCCTGTCTGTGACTGCCTGAGGCCTTGGGGGACAATTAGACACAGACCATAACAACTATCCCAAGTACAACCAAAAGTGCAATAATCTCTTCCAAAGTCTCAATATTTCAGCATTTTTCAAAAATCCAGTCCCAAATCTCTTCTGAGACTCAAGGCAAACTCTTATCTGTAAACATCTATAAAGATAAAAAAACAAGTTACACAGTCCCAAGGGGCAATGGCACAGGATAAATATTCTTATCCAAAAAGGCAGGGATTGATGGATAGGAGAGAATTAGACCAAATCAAGACCAAAACGCAGCAGGGCAAATATTAAGTCCTGCAGCTCCATAGCTGGCATTTGGGGAACATGGTGGTAAACTATGAGTACTGCAGAGCCTGGGTGTCTCACTCCTGTCCCTTTCAAGTTTGAACCCACAGGAAATGATTTATCTCCGGGGGTGGCTCCCGTCACTGCCTGAAGCTGTTGCTGTCCTTGACAGACTCCAACATTTTTGGACTCTCTAACTTGCTGGGGTCTCTACAACATCTTGGACTTCATTCCCACAGCTTTCCACCCCAGCCTCTCA